AAGATGAGAACATCTCCCCTTTCAAAGGAGTCATCGTGTTGGTGGATCTTCAGATTAACAAACAGTTTAACTTATTGCTGTCATTGTGGTTCAATGTCTGTGCAGTCTTCCTCCCGAGGTACACCTCCCGAGATATACATTTGTCGCTCCTACCATTACTTATCGCACCTTCAAGTGCATCAACAATAAACAACAGAAAGATAAATAGTAAACAGAATATGGGGCCCACGTGTAAGGTAGGCCACCTATTATTTATCATTTATCGCTGATGTGCAATGCTGTGGGAATTTTCATTCAATTCCATGGATCCAAAGTTCGAGTCTAACAAATATGGTGGCGATCTCACTATCAGATGAATATTTCTGGAGATAAGTCACACTAGCCGCAAACATACCTTTACAAGGAACCTTCTCGGAAGTTTCTTGTCCCTACGCTGCCAATCTGGCTGAATGAGCAGTATTTTCGACATGAATCCCTGAAATTTGGCATCGTACCAGTGAGAAGAAAAAATCCAAAAAGCAGGTTCACTGTTAGGATTAATACCGACGTTTTTGCCATTCAATTTTGTGGTTCATGTTCGATGATCATATATGTGATAAGGTGGGTTCCGATGCTTATCACTCACAAAATTATCTCCAATGTCTCTGGCCGCCTTATTAGGTCCGAATGAAGCGACTGTATCGAGTTCCCGTTGCAAATCTCCTTCGATGTCTGCCCAAGTGACATGAGTGCGATAGAGGCCTTCAGCTGGTGTGTACAGATTCAAAGGCATGACACCTACAAAAAAATTGAAATTCAGTGAATACTCGTAGAATTAGCATTAACTAATGATATTCTTGGAAATGGGCAATACGAAAATGGTAAAGTCTGACAATTAGGAAGAGAGCAGTTGGCTGAGTTCGTCGATTGCAGTCAAGAATTTTTTACTGGGATATGAGTCGTACATTCATAATTACGGAAGTTACGATCCTATGCTAATTATGTTATTCTTAAACTTTGGAATTCAATTGATCCTATAGTTTCTCGTTAAGACATCTCTACCCTATCAAACCTACCGTACCTCATACAGTACCCCTTTAACCCATTGACGACCATGCAGTCCACATGTGGACTGCAGTTGTATTTCTTGTTTTATTCATCCAAATTTCCACTTTCTTTTAATTCTTCTTCTCAAAACATTACATCAGGTCTAAGTGAAAATGCATACACCG